ATGTTTAGTTCTATGCAAAATTGCTTCCTTAAAAGTTTTACTGTTTTCAGTCTTTAAAAAAAAAAAAAAAAGTAAAAATACTTCCTATCTTACAAAATCAACCTAGCTATTCTTGCCTCAAGTTTCAGCTAATACATTGCTCCGTATGGTTTTATGATATACACATTATTCCTCGAACAGGAATTAAGAGCAAAGCTGCCAGGAAGGGGTTTTGTTGTCAGAGTAGTTCCCGCCTCATGTTTTGTAAGAGATTTCATGGTCCTATTGTAAAGACTGGATGATTTAAAACGTGTTCCCAAGATAAACTTTCCCATTGTCATTAATGAGGATGGATAATACTGAGTGACAAGTGCATTAGGAATGACACAGAAAGAGCTGTTAGATTTGTCAGAGCATATCACTTCAGGCAATGAAACTTGAGGACATTCTCTTGGAGTAATTTTTGCTATTTATTAAAGAAGCAAGGATTGTGATTGCTCTCGCAGGTGTATTTGGCTGTTTTGTTCATTAAATATTTAGATACCTTTGATAAAGGTAAAGGTGATAGCTGTGACCGTGATGGTCCCTCTCAGGGAGTAACGGTGGCTGCTTTGCTTACAAACATTTTAGCAATACCAATCTGCCTTTTATTTGTTTTAAAGTGCTTAGTTGGTGAATAGGCTTTAATTTGTGGTATTTTTAATGAACAGGAGTGTTTAGAAACGTATAGAGAGAAGCATTCCGGACTGCCATGGCAAAGCTTCTGGGGCAAAGATGTAAAATTGGGACACTATACATGTAATTTACATTGACTTAAAAATTGCATTTCTCCACAGAGAAAGACTTTTTAAATATTTATCTCAGCGTGGTTAATAATGGATGACTTCTCTGCTGTTTAAAATCTTTCCAAACTACAACATGCCTATCAATTTCCATTTTGAACATGCAATTGGTCACTTTTTCGCCTTGATTCCTCTTGCCTGGCTGCCAACCAAATTTTGCCTCTGTGCACCTCCTTGACACTAATAATGAGTGAGTTTCTGTTCGTTTGCGTGCAAGATTTCCCAAGCGGCAGTTTGGGGCTGGGATAAACTATCTATCATGATTGCATACAACTAATCTGCCTCAACCAAGCCACCCGATGATTGAAATTACATTTGACAATTCACCTCTCCTTGGCGTGCCTGAGGTGAACATAGCTACAGACCATCCCCGGAAGGGCACAGCAACTCCTCCATATGTTGGGGAGGATCCTTTCAGTTGTGTCGAGAGACTTTTAGCCAAGCATGTATAGGCAGAGAGATTTTTTTTCCCTTTTTTTTCCCCTGAGACTTCCTTGTTTTCGGATACAGTGCTGCTGCTTTCTGTTAACCCCCACGTTTTGGTTTTGGGAGATATTTTCTGGTTATTAATTCATTAAAATGGCTGAACTCCTTCTCTGAGAGGTACCCGATGCAGTACTGCAAGTATGGGAGATGAAAAATTCAGAGTGTATTTAAAATGTCATGTATTGTTTGTTCAAACATTAGGCTATTAATAGACCCCATGCTAGTCAAATATCAAATAAGATGTCTGTTCCTATGCTGACCTTTCCCAAAGCTTACACCTGCGTGGAGCGTCTCGGTAGGCGGAAACTAAGAAAGAATGACAAAGCAAAATCTGCTTCAGTCAGGTCTAAAATCTTTTTAATCATCTTCCGGATTATGAATTTATTCATATCGTGTATCCTCTTGATGAGTCTGTGTACATGTGATCTGACAAAGCAGACCTTTTATTTCTGGGTAGGACTAGCCAAATAATCGTCAGAGTGAAAGCTTTGTAGGTTGCTTTTTGCTAATTATTGCCGTTTTGGTACAGCGTCACTTCTATAATCGTTATGTAAGCCGTAGCCTGTGTCATCCGAAGGGATGCTTTCAACGAAGATATGTATGGTTAGTTATATCTAGTGTAATTTGCTTGTTCAAATACAAAGTTTGTGAATAGTTAGGGCAATAGAATTATGTTTCTAGGGAGATAATTTATTTAAATTTATTTGTAGTTTCCTGCACCAGCATGTTGAGCTAAAAGATGCACTGTTTTGATAGTCCACATAGAAAACACTGAGGAATTGCTTCCTGGAATATCTTTTTATGCTTCTCTGTATTCTCTCTGTGTAGCAGTGTGTTTCACTGTATTTGTGTATTCCAACAAAAGCATAAAGAGCTGAAGTCAAATTGTCCTTTCAAATAAACCTAGTCCATTACTTTTGCTGAAAAGGGGGGTTTCAGTGATGTATACCTAAAGGTATGGCTGTCCTCCCAATTTTGTTTCTGATGCAGCAATTCTTCCTTCTTTTCTTAGAACTCAAATGCTTTTTTTTCTAGGGCTTTCATTCAGGAGATGAGGTTCAAGTTAATAATCTTTTAAAATGTTTGGTAGCTGCATATAGAATCTGTATCTTAGCTGTGCAGTTAAAACTAAGTAATATCGGTGGCATGCCTAGTACAGGATTTAGAGCCAAGAAGTCCAGAAGTTCAAGATCCTTTATCTTATGATATGGTGTAAAGGCATTTCTTATATATGGAGGTATGTGATGGTTCTTGTCCGCCTTAGACCTCAGCCAAAAATATAAGACTAGTATGATACTAAATACATAGCAACCTGCCCAAGTATACATTGGGGACTAGCAAAGTTTATTGGCCACTTCCAATTTCTTAAAATGAAGACTCTCTTTTAAATAAACATGTAGTTAAATGATCAGGTTCTTCACAACTATTTTCTGCATCAGCCTTGTTAGCATATAGGTTATAGCTTGTGCAGGAGGATTGGACTGGATGATCCCCAAAGGTCCCTTCCAAACTAAGTGCTTCTGTGATAGTGTCCTGGTATAGATTGATAGCTAATATAGTACTGTGTTTACCAAAGATTTGAGTTTGAAATTAATGAATAAATTAGGTGGCATTCTAATAATATCTAGATATATCTTACAATTTTACATAGTTCTTAAAATTTTGTGATAGTTATGTCATGTATCACAACAGGTACACAAGATGTGCATTCTAAAGAAAAGGCCAAGGGTGCCCAAAATGAGAAAAAAAAAAAAAAGAAAAGAAAAAAAGAATATATTCACTTAAAAAAAAAATCTGGCATAAAAAAAAATCTGGCAAGAAATGATCTTGTCAGCTCTAATTAGGCATTTACATGTACTTCAACCATCCTATCACAACTAGTTATGCTCTTACAATCAAATAACTCTGATTTTAGGATCCTTAAATGAATTCATATGCAATTACAATAGTCAGCGAATATTACATTTTAAGTGAAAATCTAGTTCAAGCAATTTCTCTATATGAATCTAAATAAGGTCATTAAATGGTCCCCTTTTGAAAAAATATATGCCTCTTAAAAAAAAAAAATAATAATAAAGGGCGAGTAACACAGAAAGGTTACTCTCTAAATAAGTTAATGTAATAGATGGTGCTCTTTAAAGTATCGTGCTAGAGCAAATAGCAGGAATGAAAAGCTGCTGTGTTGCAGTGATTTTTGTGGGTACACTTATGTTAGGATGAGATTATTTCACAGAAGACCAACGTGTTTGTTTCCCAAGTTCAGATTGCATATTAGATGTTTTTTTTAATATATGTTCTAGTAAGGTAGAAAGGTGAAAGATAAAGTTGCTTACAAGAATTGGTCCCTGATCCTGCTTTTTAATGATCTACTGGCCATTCGTGCAACCTAAGTACTACAGCAGTTGTGTTAGCAATGAAATTCATAGCAAGAATTTTTCAAGACATTAAAACATCAAAAGCAGCAGATAAGGTTGATGCAAACCTGGTCTGTAATTCAAAGAAAGCTTCCCCATCAATTTCCATATCTACACACACTGCAGCGATTCATAACAGCTTTGTTATTATAGAAGCAATAAGCGATTATTACAATGCTTTCGTATTACAGAAGCATAATTTTAAATTCCACTTGAAATTATTGCTTTCAGAGACCGAAAATAGAATAGATTTTAACCTTCGGCATTAAAAAAATAGTAATTTTTATAAAAGAGAATATGTAATTCTCTCTGCCGTGTTGATAAAACTTTACGTATTATCAGTCTTTCGAAAATACTTCATGGACCACAGATTGTTAGTAGCTTCTGCCATATGACAGATGTTAGGAAAGTGTCAAGCCAAACTTTCTGTTGAATAAAATGCCTTATGGTAAAAAATGTACAACACTGTACCCTGGAGACTGGTTTGCTCTGTACTTGTATGAAATATTCTGCATATTTCGAGTTTTTATAAAATGAAAGCAATAGAAGGCTCTATCAGGTGGATGTATCTATAAAACTCATACCTGCTACTTAGGCAAAATTAGTTGGAAATTAATAGTAGAGACTTCATTTGCAGGGAACAGGATGAATATTAGGGAATTGGTTTAGCTGAGAAAATACTTCAATATACTTTATCATATCCAAAATAGACCTGAGGAATTGAGCTGGTATTCCTTTCTAAATTTTTAATAAGAGCAAATGCCACAATATGTATGACAGTAAATGATTTCCCTATATCAATCATATACTACTTTTTTTTAAATACAGTTTTGAAGGACATGAATTTCTATCTGGAGAGTGCAACTGTGCAAGAGATTTATTGAATTCACTAAGTGTTCACGTACTAGACCTTAAAGACCTGAGCATCGTTGAGGTTGTTTGCCTTAAAATTGTAATAATAATCTTAAATGCATGTTGTGTCATTTTAAAACATTGAGGTACATGGCTGGGATCATAAGTAACTTGGAGTGAATTTGTGGATTTCCGCATCTGTGACAAGGTAAACAGAATAACCATTGCAGAGGTGTTGTTGTGTGTCTTGCACAAAGAATTTCTTCCAGGTTGTCCTGAACACATCTTTGAGTCTTGGTCACTCACTTTTTCAGCCTGTGTTCTTATTCTTGCTCATATGTCCCTCCAGACAAACTTGTTCTCCCTGTGGTTACTCCAAAATCCCTTTAAGCCACACTGTTCTAACTTATTCACATATACGTGTGAGATGAGAGATGCTCCAGTGCTAGCTGGCAGCTTTCTTCAAGTCCCTCTGCAGCAAGAAGCAAGATTTCTCCTCAAGAGTGGAAGGACAGCCCTTCGTGATCTCAGATGACATAAACATCAAGAATGCTACCACGTGGGCTGCCCTATAAGCAATATTCAATGTAAGTGTAAATCCCTAAGAGTGAAGGGTAAGGGCTCGGAAGAAATCCAGCATGGAATTATACATTCTATGACTATATATAAATTTATATAATTTCAGACTCTTCCACATTTCCACCTCAGTCGTACTGGTCTGGACTTCTTCCCTGCCATCTTTTTTGAGACCGTCGTATAAGATGATCTAACTTGATATTCTTCCTGTTGATCTTCCCAGAGAAACACTGATGTTGAACTGATTCAGGCTTTTTTTCAGTCCTTCCCCGTTTTCTTGGAATTCATTGTTTGTTCAGTCCCTTCGGTTCTCCTTAAAAGATTGCCTGAAACATGTACTATCATCTGGTAATTGTTACAATGGCCTTTGAAGTGAACGAAGCTGTTTTTGATGCTGGTAAAGCCTAATTCTTCCAATCATATAACCAAATAGTTTGAAAAAAGGTGTGTCTTCCTACAGATAATGCTATCTTCCTTCCCAGCTGCCCCCTTCCTCATTTTTTGCTGCAAGGATTGTGATAGGGAAATCCTATCCAGTTTTGCTCTTTGGAGGGGATCGCCTTTGGCAGCTGAATTAATGTTTTAACTTCTTTACTGCTACACTTGATTAGCAACCAAACTCTTTTGGCTTGCTATGAATATGAACTCTTCAACAAAAGAAACCCAGATAGTCGGTCTTACGCCATAGAGATTCAGAGGAGGATTCTCTGGCCTCTGTGAGGGAAGTTCAGCTGACATCCACAACTTCAAGCTGCTTTACATGCTGTGGGGACTGCCACCAACTGTTCCTGAGCTCCTTAGCAACACAGAGATCCTGGTGACTTAGACTTGCCAAAAGAAGTGCAATATTTGGTTGAAGAACTGCTGGCTGATGAATTGTTTTATTCAACTCTGCAGTTGATTGAAGTTCTACATAACAGTAAAAAAATCAAGGCTTATCCTTAGATCCCTTTGCTTCTTCCCAGGGCTCGTGAAGACAAAGTCAGAAGAAAGCCATTATTTGCACAAACTGAAGCTGAATTATGCAGTCATGAATATTCAGAGGCATCCTTTAGTCAAAGGAAAGCAAAAATAACAATTCTACCACTTTTGATCCAGTTGTTTTATCAACTACCAGTTGAAACGCTGAAATCTAAGATTTTTTTTTTCTCACACCGTTTTTTCAATCTTCTGTTGACTTACTACTTTCTAGAGATAAGCCTACTTAGTAATTTTAAATCTAGTTGCAGATTATATGATTCAGATGGGTTGCAGCCTCTGTATTGAGTGATGACTCAGTTTTATCTTTCTGCTGTTACACAGTCTGTATATCCTGTCAAGTTTTAGGGACCGTGCCTACATAAATCTACTTCAAAAGAAGACAAACTCATATCCATAACAGCATGAGACACCTGAAAGGGCTCCTAGAGTATGTATTTCTCCGTATCCAGAAGGAGGATAGTGACCCACCTCGAACATAAGCTTTACTTACAAATTCAAGTTCGGGGTCATGAGAGTAGCTTCTATAGACCCAATTTGGAAAGAGGATGCTCACTGTCTTTTGACATATCAGACGTCTACTTCTGCATGCTTGTTAGTGTCTCATCATCCTTATATTCGTTTTATGGTGAGTCAAGGCCATTATCTTTGGACTTGTCAGAGTTCCAAAAGTTTTTAACAAGGTACTTGTAACTGTTGATTGCTCATTTGAATTAGGGTGTTTCTTTTTCTCTACATAAATGATTGACTGACAGAGAACTGCCAAGATGCTGCCTGTCATTCTAAAACATAGACTACAAAATGGGAGTAGAGTCTAGACGTACAGATAAAAAAAAAAAAAAAAAAAAAGGTATCCTCTTTCAGGCTCTCAAATTCCTTAGGGCAAGCATGGACAAAGTAGTCGTAAGTGGAGAACGCAGTTGGACTGATATTGCACAAAAATTCCACATCAGCTCTAGCCCTCAGAGCATAAAGTCTCCCCATCTTGAACTTAGAGAAGCAGAAAACATCTGCCCAGTGTTTTGTTATTTCTGAAGCTGTGACCCCGACAGTGAGAGGTATCACTCCCAGAGTTTGTAGCCAGTTTTTATACCTGCTTCGGGGTGGCTGACCTCTGCACTGGGACACGGAGAGTTTGGCAGTGGGCAGTTGAACGCTGTGTTCTGCTCAACTCGAATGGGGAGACTTCATGTGATGTGTTGAGGGCTGTGAATGCGGTTGCTGTTCACCTTGATGGTCAAGCAGCAGTGTTCCTAAGCAAGATGTTACCTTGTGTCTCCAAACATGTTCTCTTTCTGTAGCTGAGTTAAAAGCTTTTCACATTCAAAGACCCTCAAAAACAGGACAGAAGGAATTCTGATGGCAGTGTCTGTATGACCAAGTTTCTCTAAATATCTGGATCTCCATCAGTTACCAGAGTCCAGATCTCGGTTCTGGTTTAGGTCACATTTCAGAATGTCGGGGTTTTGGGGGACCCCAAGCGTGCTGTACTCCACATAACAGCATACAGGTGAATAGTTGTCATTTTGAATGATGAAGTATTTCTCTTCCTCCGTTGCAAGGAAGGTCCTTATAAATTATTGGAAGGATGATATATAGCCTGATCAAGTGAACTGGGGTCACTGGTTCTTTTAAGTCTGTTATTGAAATCTAGTTATGAATCCCTGTCGTCCTAGACTGATAGGACTTACCTGATCATCAGCTTGCCCCTGGTCTACCAGCAACCTCTGTTCCACAGATTTTAAGTGGATAGGAAGATAGTCTCATATTTTAAGTAGGACAGGATTGGTGTCCGCTGCTGAAATACGTATTCAAATATTTGTCACACAAATCTAGTTAGCTCTGAAGATTAAAAAGAACTATTTTTATACTTTGCTTCCACAGATTTTTTCCAATTCAGTCATTAAAAAAGAACCAAAAAGAACAACCTAAGCTATTTTAATGTCTTGACATAGAAGATCCTTACATTTCCTTCCAATTCTTGTGTTTGTAGTAGTATTGCTTTGTGTTTGTTATCTCTTCTTAGGAATGTCAATTTTTGTTTTAAGTCTTTCTTGCTATATTTTGATGGCGTTTAACTTGGTTTCTTTTTATAGTTCAAATATTATTCTCTAGAGTCCTGTAGTAGAGCAAAAGTGTCAGTTTAAATTATTGTTAAACCATTATAAATACCACTTGGGTTTAAAAAAAAAAAAAAAAAAAAAAAGATTTTGAAGTTAATGACACTCTTTCTTTTTCTTTCATTTTGTAATTTTATTAATTGCCCTTTTCTTCATTTGTTCACACATTTTCATGGATAACTGTAAAGACCATCAATTATCAGGCTAAATTCTGTTTTGGTGACGCATTTGAAGCAGTGCAATGAGGTAGTTTCATAGATTTTTGTATGGTGGTCATCCCAAACATTAGAAGACAAAGCAAGATCTGTTGGAAGATTTTATAGGTAGATTGTGATAAGTTGATTAAATGGAGAAATTTAAAATCAAGTCACATTGCAAGGATCTTTAAAATGAAGCTGTGGTTTGTGTCTACCTCAGTAGTAAAAAATAGAGTAATAGAGGAAAGCAAAAGGGTTGATGTCCTTGTCCAAAGCACTGGGCTGGGAAGATAGTCTTTGCGATAGTGTTTAGACTATATATAGGTTTACCAAGACTATGAATAAAAACTTTACAAAAAAAAACACTCAAGGGAAACAAAATATGTGAACTGAGAAGAAAAGCTGCATTTTAGGACTCTTCTAAGGAAAGAAATATCCTGTTTAACTTTTGGGGAAAGAATTGTCTGAAACTGAGACTTCAGAGAGTGGTAGAGTTCTAAGTGCTAATCTCATGTAATTATGATATATCATAATATCTCTTAATTAAATCTATTCGTATCCATTATTATAGCCTGTCTGGTGAAAGTCGTGGATCTGTGTTTAGGATTTTTTTTGTGTATTTCTTCCACATCCTGTTTTGGTTCCTTGGTTTGAATATCAGCTTTCAGCTGATGAGATGCATATAACGGTGCTGTGATATGGAGCAGCCTGGCTGTTTGTTAATGTAAATTTGATTGAGTCTCATCTGATTACGAAGTACAATTTTCCTGAAGAATGTTTTCCCAAACACATAACAACAAATGTCAGCTAGATCTGCATGCCCTGATAGCCATAACATAAATGAGTCATAAAAAGCAAGTGACATAAACAAGTAATGTAGTTGATTTGCTTCTTGATAGGGCTATAAATAGTGCTGGGAGAGTCTGATTGCAGAGCCCATGGAGCAACGTATGTAACGACTAGTATGAATATCACTTAGCCCTGAAGATTTCCCATGATGTGTTTGCTGCTGCCCGTGCCACGTGGGTGAGGAGAGGCCTGTGGAGTCCTGTGAGGTCAGAGTCCATCGTGGACATAGACTTCGAGGTATTCTCATTTAATGTTATAAATCAGGCCCCTCTCTGCTGTTCCTGCCAGTTTCTGTGTAGTCAAGTGCTCTGTGTAGTCCTTGGGATGCTTCCACATGCTGCTTTGTCTGAAACAGCACGGAAAGGGACCCGAAGGGTGCCCAGGCCCTGTCCCTGCGTGATGCGGTGGGATGGACAAGGTGAGTCACCGTGGGGTCTTGCTGGTGCCAAGGCTGCCACAGTCAGTAACCCCTTCCTGCAGAGCAGGAGAGGCGGCTGGAGGAGAAGCTCTAGGAGACTTGTAGACATGTGAGATGGCAAGACTAAACCCTTGCAGGGATATGGAAGGAAAGGAAAAGGAAAAAAGGGGGGATCAGTTTTGGTTTGGCTTTACAGTTAGTAGATGAATAGATGAAGACAGAAGAAAACACTGCACCAAAAAGAAGTAAGGAATTGAGAGTACAAAGGGAACAAACCGGTTCAAAGTTTGAATATATATATACACCTTTTTTTTGCTACAGTCTTTTCTAATGTGTCAAGCACAGGTTTTGAGTCACCTTTGCTTATCAGAAAGCTAGTGGCTGTAATTCACTGAGA